CGAAAAACCGACATGTCTGTGTTGACCCCGTTTGTTAATTCACTGTCCGCATATTGGCTCTGCATTTTGTAGCTCATGGCTGGGGATACAGTTCAAATCCTCCTTCAATGCAAAATATCAAGTCGAGGGAAACATTTTTGCGCTAAGTCTCATCGTTTCTAGATATAGATGAGACAATATTAGCTCTCCGAAGGACAAGAATGACTTTATGACAGGTTTTATATGCAATTAGAAAGCGGCCTGAAAGGGATCATCGGTGATGGACAAACGAAAACAGAAAACGAAATCCTCGTTAAGTGCCATGACTGGTGCACAGCACGTGAGGGGGAGAGGAGTGAGGGAATGGGTTAATTCCGTCTTAGAGTCGTATCCTGTCATTGCGATATGAATGCTGTACTCCAACTGATGACATCGTTTTGATTTTCGTAACCAAACTCCTGGGTACATTATTTTCTATTCTCAGAAGCCATTTTGCCATATGTTCAGCTGACAAAATGTCAGTTTAACGTTCCCTATTTTTATTTGCCTATCATGTTTGACCCTCCCAGGCCGTTCGCTTATCGAATGGGTTCTTCTGTGTAATTATCGCACGCAGTTCTTGCCTTGTTCAGATATGGCGGTTATGTGGCCGCTCCAACTGGGCAATAAATTATAGCGACGCTTTCAGTGATACAGTCCTCGAAGTCATTTCTGCCACTTGTTGCTCCCTTTATGTATGCCAGGAGGATCTATTTTATGTCCATCCTCCTTTTTGACGATCGAAGGCGTTCATGTTGGCTCTACTACTATTCATGACCAAAGGAGGTTTACGAATTTCGCTTATCTGGTAAGCCATCAAATAATGTTTTTTTTTCGTGAAATTCTAGGTCCATGTGTTGCTGGAGTGGTTGGTATAACCATGCCTCGTTACTGTCTATTCGGGGACACTGTCAACACGGCATCAAAAATGGAATCCACCGGAGCAGTTCTGTGCTTTTAATATCTTTATTAAATTCTGAACGATGACCCGTTATGCGAGAGAGAGTAAACACCTGCCGGAATGCTGTGCACATGCGACATATTTTGCGACTGTGCATTGTTCACCTTCTTCTATTGATCGAAAGACCTATGTCAAATTTTCAACTTTCTAACAAAAGCCTTTAGAATCCACATCAGTCAACCGTTTAAAGAGCTGCTGGATACGATTGGTGGCTACACGACAGAGTACCGTGGCACAGTAGAACTGGAGGGAGGAATTGAAATGCACTCTTTCTGGCTGCAGAACAGCGTGGAATTTCACAAGCCTCTGCCTACACCACCGCCACTCACCCCGTAAGCCCTGCTTATTCGAAACAAAGTTCCCAAACAAAAAGCTTTTAAATCCATTTTTAAATCTTGTCAAAATACTGAATAATCAGACACATCCCAGAGCTGTGGTACTGATCGATACTTTGGTGCTAGGCATCAGTAGTAGAATTAAATTTTCGCACGTGTGTTAACGTATATAGGATTGATAAATTTCTTTTTCCTTCGACTATTTTATTGGATTCCAAATCAGGTTGTATCAACTTCCGGTTCGCCTTAGAAAGTGGGAATGCAATAACACCGCTTTGTTCATGGTTATATACCAAACTCTATTTGGACTTCACCGAATAAGGTGGTCAAACTCACACACATTTAGAGCGCAACCTGACGGATGGTCAATAATCCTAGATGTACGGAACTTGGCGCGAAAGGCGTTCATGTATACTACAAGAGGTTACAACTTTACTATAGCAGTGTTTGATCGAAGGCCAAAACCTAATGTAATGTAGTACAGCTGCCTGCCTCAATGTGATAACTACACACAAATTTACTCTGCCAGTCTTATGGACCACAAATTAGTATGAAAGACTTAAAATATTCTTAGGTACTGTGCTCCTAATTACTTTTTATGATTTTATTTTTGAATGACCATTACATTAATGATCTGTAGTCAAGACACGGTAGGTTAACTGACTCTGCTCTCTGAAGACGATCAATAAGTTTTTAAGGCTTGAATCACGGTCCACACCTTTAAGAACAAATATGACAATAATCATTCAAACCGTACTCCGTTAAAAGCGTTGTCACTTGGAGAATTGAAAAATATCCATGAATTTTTCACATTGTCAATTAACCTCCTCGTTGAAGCAACGCCTTAGTTGCAGTTAGAATGAACCCATTTCCGTGGATTAATTAATATGAACATGATGTTTCACTTATCAATCAATCTTTCTTTTTATTTTATACCAGGGGTGAAAATCACGGGTAAGTTCCTTGTAAACGCTTTTATGATTTTATCAATTACCATGAGGTTTCCTTTGACCGAAATGTAAAACGGAATATGCATAGACTAAACGGCTCGGGCAAGTTTAAACCTAGACAGAGCAGAATAAGTGTTGGTCCAGGTTCTCTCAACTTTGTGCAGAATGGCATGTCCCTTATGTCATCCTTACGACTGTATTTATAGAGGGCCAATTGAAAGCCTAAAGGTAAGCTGACACAATTTCCTTAGGGAGAATCCCCCTCAAAAACCTCTTAGGCACTGTGCCCAAACAGAATACCAGCCACCTAATTACTCAACCAGCCTGTTAACCTTACAGAAGTAGCTCCTTCACAGTTGCATGATGTGTAAAAAGCCACCAACCAATTGACGTCCTGCTTATTACCCTTCTGACAGTACATGTATCACTGGGCGTTAATGCATGCAGGCCCATATTGTCGACAGCAGACCGACTTGAAGTACTTCTAGGATAGTCTGCCTCTCCGAACACAGGCACCCGGACTGTCTATTAGTAGAAGGCGAGGCAAATCAAACGTACCCAGCCTACCTATTCCTAGAGGACGCAAGAGGTGCGCGTCAGGATGAATGCTGGAAAACTCAATTATTAAGTCGACTGGTATAGTCAATACTTTATCAAGCGGACGGAACGGCAATAGAGCTGATATTGTGAAAGGAGAAAAAAACCAAATTTTGATAAGCAATATTACGGCAGAAGCTCAGCCGAAAGGTGGGAGCAGTGACAGCACAAACTGCTCTCAAGAGTGCGGCTTTAATGTCCAAGAAAACCTTTGGGCGCCAGAGAGACATGACAGCTTTTTGTGAAGAACTGGACAGCCATCTATGGAGCTAAGGGAACAGGGGAAGTTGACGAAAATCCGATGGACGTACATAGCCGTAGCCCTACAAACTCCTGTATCCTTCTACGTAGTTCAGTTGCCATTGCAATTTCAAGACATGGATCAGCTTTGCGAGAAAATTCTAAATAGACCGCCGATGGTGGACAAGTATACTCCCTACGGAATCCATGGTCGACATTGCGATATAAACGCAATATTGGTCATTAAATAAACGAACAATATTGAGACAATGCTCAAACGTTTACTGAGGGCAATATTTCGTCGATTTCAGTTTGTGTGAGTAAACCCGCCTTGTTTTATCCAAACACACTTATAACCGCTAAACGCAAGGAGCAATATTTCGATAATTATCAGTGAAAATGAAAAAGAAAACTCTAATAGCAAATTTTAGCATAGGTGCTTTCAGTAGCCAAAAATACTTAAATCTCAGGTGCTGGGAGACCAAGAATTTGCAGTGGCGTCAGTTTTGCTTTGATCACTGAGTCAGAGGTGGAGACAGTTTTATCACGTATAAGTAAATAAGACGTCATTCAATCAAGATCTGCAATCAAAGCCAATCAAGAAAACACGGAAATCGGAATGTCACGTACCCAGTCCTACAGGTGACTTTGACCAGAATGCGTAAATACTTTCCAGTCCTAACTCAAACTCTAACCCGAATGTTGATCAACAACCTATCTTTGCCCTAACCCTAATCATAACAGGAACATATATCGCGCCGGAAATTAGAGCGAAACCTCCGGAATAGGGGCTTCATATTTCCATTTGTTGCTAGCCAATCCTATACGACTAGTCTAAGTGTCTTTACGTGTTTCAGAGTCGGTTCA